CATCCCACCTCTGATCGATGTGTTGCCAACGGCTCTTCTTTCCTATTCCTTGAGGTCTTGGGATCAATTTTCCTGAATATCAAAACTGAACTTGGAGGCCATCGCTATTAGGTTGGAGGCCATTGCTATTAGGTGGGAGGCCATTGCTTCTAGGCTGGATGCCATTGCTTTTTCAAACGATCATGTAGTCAGACAAGTAATTTAATTTGTCGGCCTTTGAAAGGAAGGGTGGACCGTTAGCCACGAGTTCGGGCTTAGGCCGGCATTATTCCGCCGCCTCTCAAGCGGTCTCGAAGGTGGGGAGGAGATGGGTGGAGTGCGTGGACTGTGGAGGGGATGGTGTTGTTTCCAGTTTTATATACAGTAGTAATACACTCCCTGGAACTAACATGGGAAGTGGAACATGGCCCCTTGGAAGACCATTTTCCTCTACAAACAGGGTGTTTTCCGCTTCCATGTCAGTTCCAGGGAGTGTACTTGTTTCAGTTTGGGCGCAAAGGATCATTTGAGATGGTCAACGAGCAATGGCACAACCGCCACAGAGCGCAATGGAGCTACCCCTTCGTCGTCCCGACGCCGAGAGGCTTCACACCAGGTCTCCAGATGCCCATCGGAACCAACGAATGACCCAACCGAACACTGCCCGCCATTGGCGAGGTCCGCTTGGAAGCCTTGAGCGGTCCGAAGAGTGGGCGGGTGCGGCTCCAACGGGGGGGGGAGGGGCGCACGGTCGCGGTGGAGTGGCCTGGAGTGATGGCGGGTCGTGGTTGGCTGCTTAGCCGGAAGAATTCGCTCTCCTCATGGGAGGCCTTCGTAAGGCCATCCTTTTTGGTGTTGCTCTTTTTGGTTTTCGGAATCTCCCGACAAAGTGAGAGGCAACTCCTGTGGTGGGACGAACCTAAGCGAGGTTTGGAATGAACCTAAGCAGATGGAGGTGTTTTCCGCTAAGATGATCTCGTTGGTCGGTGGGGCCTGTGTTCTTTTTGGGTTGGCCGGGGATCCGAGGGACTGAGCTGGGCAAAAGGTGTCAGGCATTTTGATTAGGGTGGGAATACGCTTCCACTGGTGTATTTTACCATATGAATTTGATATGTCTTTTGGTGGAATTGGGTTCCCAAAGCCTGGTTAGGTCTCAGGATTTGCCCCTATTCCGGATTCTTTCTTCACATCGGCGGAGCTTCGGATCTGGACCGTGGCGATGCGGTGGCAGGTGGGCTCGAAGAGCGGGAGACTCTCTTTGGGCCCAAGCCTGAGAGGGTGAGAGGTGGGCAGATGTGGGATGTCAAAGCACACCCCTAAAGCTGGTGAAAGGGGTTCCCCCTGAGCTGTGTCAAGGCATTCTTATGTCTCAGAGTGCCTGGGCATTTGGGAGCACTGGAAGACATCATCGATCCACAAACAAGTGGCCTTTTTAGTCAGGGACTTGTGGCTGTCTTCTTCCAAGGAGAGTCCAGTGGCTGAGTCCCCGGAGCTGGCGAAATGGCTGGGATGGGAGTGGATGTACATAAATTACCTGGGTCCTTGGGTGTCTCCACCTCTTCACACTTCGTCTCCAGGATCAGGATTTTGCTGTACAAATGATATTGAATGGGTTGTCCCGTCTGGTGAAATGAGACACATCCAAAGCCCCAAGTTCTATTCTGAAGAGGGCCTGCCAAAGCCTTGCAGGGTTCTCCATGCGATGGTGGAACTCAAAGAAACTACGGCTGTGCAACTTAGCAAAAAAGCGTTGCATCCCTGGAGCACGTGTTCTCTTGCATGGGAAACCCAGAGAGAAACTGTCCAGCGGGTCTCATCCGAACAAACTGTACATGCCCTGCAGAACATCAGCATGGCCTTCTTTGTGTTCGAGCGCTTACGCCAGATCGAGCAATCGAGATCGGTGGTCTCTCGCCCCAGGGTGCTTCGACGAGCGATATATATATATATGTATACAGAAGACATCATAGGACATGGGTGTGTCCCAGAAGTCATGGTTTTTTAGACCTGCCTATTAATCTCAGGTCCAGGATTTTGTTGTCAAAAGAACTTGAATCGTTTGGCTTGAGATGAGACACATCCAAAGCCTGCCAAGAGCCATGGGCTTGCCAAAACTTTGCACGCTTCCCATTGCAAGGGTCAAGTATGAGAGGACACAATTTGTGTTTTGGGTGTTTCTTGTGTCATCTGAATCAAATGATTTTGTGGCTTTGTATCGCCACGCGACGCTCTGGTCCAAACCATTTGTACATGCCGAAATCCTGCGAGTGGAGGTGTCTACTGCACTGAGTTTACTGCTGCGTGTTTCCGAGAAAATTCTGGAAGAGACGAAGATGTAAGGATGTTTTCAGGGTTGGCTTCATCTATCAAAGCCTGGGCAGCCCGCCTTCCATTTCAACCCAAGCCTTGGATGAGATGCGTAAGGGACTACCGTCCCAATCCCCGATCCCCAGCGAATCTCAGCGGATGCCATGACGCTGATCCAATGGCCGGGCGTGGCGCTGGAGTCCCAGGAGGGAGCGAGTCGACCTGGGCATTTGCCGCCAGTGACGCAGTGATGCCAGATAGAGGGACAAGTGAGACAAGGACATGTTCTTTTCTCTCGAAATGTATATTGGAAACTGTTTCCATCCATTGGAATAGCTGTGACTCGCAATCCGGGGGTAGAATCTAGACGGTCTCCATCGGCCTTGGAACTGGCTATTCTGCTGTACCCAGACTATTGAAGCAACGATCAGGGTGACGATATCCTTTTTTTGTGGCAGAGACGTGGTATTTCTTTATTTTTAATACTGTAATACATCCTGACTTGTGCGAGTTTATGGCCTTGGTATGCCTTGGTGGAGTCAGATCTCGTGGGCTTTGATCGATGGACACCGATCAATGTGTTCCTGTAGAACTGCGGTCTGATGCTATATGTTCTGGTTGTAACGAGATGACCAGAGTTCTGTTGGCATTCAGTGGCTTGTATCGCCTGTTCACGTTGGATCTTGCCAGCTCTGACAGATCTACCAGTTCCCAAGTCTGTTTTTTGCTGTGATCTTTCGCAACACCAGGAGAACTTGGCAGACAAGAGCGAAGCAGCAGACCCCATGGTGAGGGGTGGGGGTGGTGGATTCCAACTCAAGCGGTTCATTGGGCTGTGAGTCATGGCAACGGTGTCCTGGTGCAGACTGTGGCTTGCAAATGGATGTTCACCCACTCCAAAGTGGCCAAAATTTTGAAAGAACCTTAGGTTTGACTTCGCACAAGTGTAGCAGGACGTGCACCTTTGGCTGTTTTCGTATTACTGGACTTTTGCTGTTAACGCGTGGCGTTGAGCGGGCATTTCTCAATGGATTCGAACACTGCACGGGTGAAGGTCGTGGGAGGTCACTAACCCCCCCAAGTTTAAGGGAATACAGTGCCACAAGGGGAAAAGAAGATGTCACCCCGACGATGGGTGCGGAGCTCAATGCTCCTGAACAGCTCCTCGGCTTGGCGAGCTTCCCAGCGATTCCGCCAGGTGGCTTTGAGCGAGCCCGGTGGTTGGGGCACCCAGCCTTTGTCATAGTTGGGCAAGTTGGACCCCCAAATTGGTATGCTCAAACTGGTTGTAAGTTGTAAGTTGTAACTATAATAGTTGCTTTTTACAGGTCGCTGGTTTAGCACGAAACGTCTCATGAATCTCAGTCTTGGGCGTTCCACCAACATTGTACACCAAAGTTGTGGGTTGGCCGCACTTTGAGCAATGCCAATGTCCGGAACAAATCATAGACCTGATAGACACAAATCCATTGGTGGCTGGCTTAGTCATGAATTGACAGGACATTTTTTGATTGCTACTTTTGCTTTCCCAACTTAGGATTGTTTGTTTCAAGGGACGGTGTGCGGCACGATTGCCTCGAAATTGGTGCCTCCACCAACCACTGCTCGGTCCTCCCAAGAAGCCAACCAACTGCAAGCCAGGAACTGCCGTTGAAGACGAGGTGAAGGACATCTTCCGCTTCGTCCTCGTTTGTCGTGGGGACGTTGGTTTTCCAGTTGAAAAAATTGATTCCACCACTAAAGCGGGAGAGCGTGTGTGAATCGAAGCAAACGGAGAATATAGTGAACCCAGAGAAGTTTGACGTTTTCTGTCCATTCGGGTACCTTTTGCAAGCTGGTACATCTCTACATGCAGTTTGCCGCTCACGCACCAATGTAGGAGTGCCCAGTGAGACGGGCGAAATGGGCTATAAAAACATCATGACACACCACCTTACACGTCGTGCCCTTTCCTGGATTGGATAGAGGTGTTCTTTCGTTACTCAATTTCCACATAAATCTTGGCCTAATAGGCTCCTGTCGCACCTGAACTCAGGGCTTTTTGCCACGTGGTGTAGGCGGATCCAGGAGCCACTGGACTATCGCACCCGCCTGGAACCAGTCCCAGAGGCGGAGCGCTCCCATGGGACAAATGCAGACGGGACTCATGGGACTCCGTGCGAATCCATTCTCCCAAACTGGTGCTCCATGTAGTGCAAGATACTCAGCAGACCATGTCGTCCACTGTCCGTCCTTTCCAAGTCTTTGAGCTCATAACCGGCAGGAGGCTACTTAGAATGGGAGGCTACTTGGCAGACCCAGAACTTGGAAACCACTGAGACCCACTTATCAAGGATCATCAAGGTCTCCCGAAAATTGAAAGCTGGCCCCGCTTTTGCAAGGTAGCTTGACGAGGAGATGGGGGGACATGAGTACAGTCGTAGATGGAGATCAGGAATTGAAGACTACACCGTTTCTTTTGGGAAGGCGAGGATGTCCAATGTTGCTACTGTTCGCCCTGCAGTTGGCCAAAGCTAAACCTAGGACCTATGCCCCACTGAGAAGCTTGCGGCTCGGCGATGCCCGTGTGTCCCCTTTGACGTCTCTGCTCACAGATGACAGTTGACCTTTCCACCATGCCAACCAGCCTAAGAAGAACTGATGGTCCACAAATGGTCGCACAGAATTCGTAGGCATCAGCAGAGTTTTTTTAAATAAAAGATGGCACTTCTTCAGCTCTTCAGCAGCTTGTGCAGCTCTCCAGTGCTCCATGGAGCGGCGCTTGGATGAATGGCACCAGCTTTTGCGATCGATCTGCACGTCGCCCGCGGTGCGGCGCAAGCCCTCGCTGCAGGAGGTACTACGCTTGGCAGATGAGCCTTTGGCTGTGGAAGAGCGGTTGGGGCTCAGAGAGCAGCGTCAGTTGGATGCAATCGCTGGGCGGGGATTCTGGGCGACAAACTGACAAACAAGTGGAAAGATGTTGGGAGGCTCCTCGTTTGATTTCCTTTCGGTTTGGCGACCTCAGACTGCATGAGGCGAGCCTTGCAAGAGGCTGTTGCACGGACTGGTGGCTTTGGCTTGTGGCACCCTCCAACATGTGAAGCGCTGCTACATTGGAGGCGCTTTTGGCCGCAAGACTGCCCTCAACTATTGCGTTGATGCTTTGAGTTGCGTTTGGCTGATTATGTTTCGTCATTTTGCAGCTTTGGAGATTTTGACTGTGGGTCAATACCCTTTTGGCTGGTTCGGTTTGGGGGTGCGCCTTTTCCCATTGTTTTCAGAGCCAGGAAGCAGATCTTGTGATCTTCCTGGAGGACTTTCAATGCTCGAGGAGTCGAAGATACCAGGCCCAAGTCTTTGATGGTCTCGAGAAGCTCTTCTACCGCGGACGCGTCGAGCTGCATGGGGAAAGCCCCTCTTGTCTCAAGATCGCAGCTGGGCAGTTTGTCCTTCTAGATCTCCACATGACGGGCGAAGCGCCGGAAGTGGTACCTGCGGAAGAGGAGAGGCGCTACTATGGAGCGGCAGAGCTGGCACGAGTGGATGAAGAGCTCTTGGCCTTTGGGAGCAGACATGCTGAGTTCGTAGCGCTGGTACTCCTGGGCAAACACTGGAGGGCTTTAGATGCCCGTGCCCAGGCACTCTCTTCATATCACTTGGAGCTTCTTTGCAAAGAACTCATTGAAAGGAGTGACTTGGACACCTTGCGGGATCTCTTCTGGAAGTTCTTGAAGCGTTTGGCCTACAGTGAGGATCGGCTTTGGGCCCGGAATCCCAACCGCTTCCGCTGCGATCTCCAGATCTCGAAGAACGCTCGGGGTCCCTTGGCCGCCTACGCGGCGGAGACGCTGCGGGACTACCAGCGGCACATCCGGCAGCAGAACACGTCAGCGTGCCCCTCCTGCGGGCATCGGTTTCACCCTCGGAGCGTTCGGCCACTGTAACTAGTTATAGATCCGGGGATGAAATGACACGAGTTGATCAGTTGGTGAAGATCTTGGAGATGGATGGAGATGGCGGGGTTGGATATTGTCCGCTGTGGAAATCTTCGAGTGATTGGTGGTTGAGGGAGCCCGGGCCAGGCCTTGCCGTTGAAGGAAACTCCTGAGACCCTAAGGGCTAAGGGTTTCCAAGCTTGATGGGCGCTCCAGTCTTGTTTTATAGGATTTGTGACGCTTCCATTGCGCGAAGGCCTGGGGTGTGGCACTGTGGGGTTAGACCCCTTTGCCGTTGTGCAAGACTCCCTAGCAAAGTTTTTTTGCAACTCTCCACCTGGGATCTTTGGTGAGGCGTTTTGATGCGTTTTGCTTTCTTGAGGTGTTTCTCCCGGCTGTTCCTAAGGAACTGGAGGGCGACAGAGGATTGCTGATTAAAAGAACAGTTTGCGTCCTGGTCCGTGTAAGCCCTTCTGGGGCTGCGGGTTTGAAGCTTTCTAACATGGAGCGTTTATTCACCCCAGAGTTTGTTTCAGTTGGTCATCCCTTGAAGGTATTTCGGAAGCAGGTAATGACACACGAAGGTGCACCTCCACAAATTTGATTGCATGTTTGGAGCTGATCCATAGGTCATTTTACGTCATATCAAGTTATGCTTGGCCCCATGTTCGTGACCTCCTGCGAACCTAGCCAGCATCGCAGAAGTAATCCCGAAGAGATTTCATTGCCATTCGCATTCAATTCTTGGATACTCAGAAGCAAAACGTGCCAGGCTGAGAGCCCTGCAGCGCTCGCACCCGCAGCTGCCCCGGCCGCCCTCCTCGCGCCCACGATGATCGCCGCCGCCCCGCCGCTGATCGCTGCCGTGCCGGTGAGGCCGGTGCGGATCCCCCAGCCGCTGGTCTTGTTGCCGAGTGGGAGCGATCAGCAGGCGGGAGGGTCGCCGTGGGCGGGATTTGTGTTGCGACGCAGGGGGTTAGCGCCTGGTCCTCAGCAGGGCACTCTACGGTCATTCTTCGGACCACGAAAGGGCATGGGTAGAAGTTGGGTCATGTCTTTCAGCAAATAAGAGAAGCCAACGACAACAAGAACGATAAACACTGAATTATGCAAGAATCCTGGAAGGCCTATTACACATGTACCTGTACTGTAACCACCATGGGATCTTGAACCTACAAAGCAATGCCTCAGGCGCTGTGGTGAATGGCTGAAGAGGTGACCCTGCTGTACAAAGCACTGCAAAGCGATGAAGAGCAAACAGCACCGAACATGTCCTTGGGAGCGCAAAAGAAACACCTTTTTTTAAATCGGACCTGCAAAAGAAAAACCCCTGCCGGTGATGCTAGAGGAAGAGATCTGAGAGATACAAGCAAGAAGGGCCACAATGTTTGTGTGCTTTCTGACTGAAAAAGGCAACGTCTATCCACTTCCTCACAGCCTTCCAATCCATGCCATGATTTCGTGTCGATGCTTGGGGACATTGACCTGTTTGAGATGGTTGGTGCCTCCGCAGCTCCGCCGCCAGATGCCTGAGATGGTGGAGACAGTGAGATCCTCAAGCTCCGGAGCCAAGTCAGGCCAGATCACGGGAACTGTGCTGACAGGTCAAAGCCGAGATTCAGGTTGGATGGAGGGGTAGAGGATGGTAGAGGGGGCTACCGGAATGAAGTCCCAAGGCAAAGTGTCAGAGTCACAAGCAGATGCTGTGTTATCGTCATTCGGGGGTTTGTAGTTGGCAGAACTGGTGGAAGTGATCCTGATGCAGCCGGCTTTTGGGTCTGAACTTACCAAGCACCAATGCCAACAGCGTGCAGGACACCCCTTGGAGTTCTTGGTCACGCGACCCGCCGGCAGCGCCAAAGCCGTGCCGCTGGGGGGACCGATGGGGCCGCCGGCGGGGCCCGCGGGGGCGGGGCCTGGGCCGCCCCAGAGGGTGCCGGTGGTCGGCTCCATTCCAGCAACTACGCAGGCGAGAGGGAGTGAGCGAGCGAGTGAGTGAGAGAGCAAGAGGGAGTGGGTGTGGCTAGTGAGCTGTTTATTAATTATTCATTTATGCCATTAGTTAGGTAATTTGATGTCTCATGCTGTGTCAAAAGTCTGGACAGCTCACACTGGAGGAACGATATCCGATTTTTTAAAGGAAGGCGACCGAAAAGGGTGATGATCGAGCGTTTGCGACCAGATCTGCTGTTTGGTGTTTGCCAAGACGTTTGATGCACAGACACACATTCGCAGAACAGTGCAAAGTTCCAGCGTTCCCTGGCCCTTCCCGTTTTCTGCCTTACATGTCACAGAACAGTTCAAAAGGCTTCCTTTTAGCGGTCTCTCACATATGGCCCATGGCCTCTTACACTACATGTGCAGAGAGCTCCTCTGGCGCAGCGCACCCCAATCGATAGACTTGCTTCCAACTGTTCTTGGGGTCACTTTAGCATGAAGGACTTTGTGGACTCAGTTCTCCTGAGGTTCAGGGAAAGCAAAGGACTGGTTCAGGCGCAACAGTACAGGTTGTTCTTTGTTAAGAGACTTGTGGACCCACGTCAAAGTGCTTTGTGCTGGAGGCCTCTCCAATGCGCTGTGTACATTGCAAACATGCAGAGCACGAATTGGAGATGCCTCTTGGTTTCAACATTTTGGTATCAACACCGGGTCTGTTCTTCGGACATCGCCACACAATTACGTCCTGCATTGGCAGGCAATTTTGGTTGCCGAGGTTCCATGTAGCATCATGCAAAGCAAGAAACATTGGTAGTTATATACATAATCTCTCTCTCTCTCTATATATGTATAGATATACATAATATAATGCTAGGGTTCAAGATTGCTGCATGGGAGCAGCTTAGAATCCCAGTCGCAAAGGCGACGCTTCGTTTCCTGTGCGCCCGTGTTCCTGTAGCAGATGGACTGGGCCAGAACCTTCACGGGAGGTTTTGACACTGTCTGGAATCTTGACAGTGAGGCAGTACATGATAATGTGCATCAGGTGGCAACTTGCAGATTTTTCTCTCTTGGTATGGGCTATTGATGCAGCTGCTCTACCAGCTAGGATTGATTTTTCCTTGGCTGGTGGCAGAGTGTGATGAGCTCACATACAGATCCTTTGCCTGGTGCTGGTGAACTTTGTGTTCGAGACAGCGCTTGATTGATGATCTGGCAGTGTGCTGAGCCGAGTCCATCGATGTAGTGTTTGATTTGTGCTTCACACACTGCGTGGGGCTTTTGATGTTTTTAGTTGTACGCTTTTGGGTGGCCCCACGAACCCCTGGATAATGAATCAGTATGTGAGCGTTCTGTTGTCGTTGCCGCTTGTCTTCTCACGACTGTGGCACATGTTTTTATTCCGGTACTTTCAATGTTTTGGTGCATTGTCATTGTACGCCTGAATGCATGGAGTACCCTGGAATTGGTGTCGCTGTGAATCCTTGCGCATGCTTGTTAATGGCCAGAGTGGTGCTCTTGTTGCACTTGTTCTTGCGCTTGGGTTACCTGCCAACCCTGCGACAAGCTAGCCCAACTTATATATATATATATATTATTTTTAGGAGATATGTCGTATGCTGCGCCCTCCACTTTTCAACCTAACCTCACTGAAGGGTATGGGCGAATGCGCTCTCTTTTTGATGGTGAGGATTTGGCAGGCCCAATCAGGTGCATGTGCAGCCACAAGCGACCGCCTTCGGCAACCGCAAGAGAAAACATAATGCCGTTCCATTCCTCGCCGTTCTTTGATTTAGCTCCCCAGACTTGCAACACTTGGTTTTGAGCTTTCGAAGAAGGAAGTGCTCGGGCCAAATGCTGAGTTGGACCGTTGGAGGGATTGATATTTTGCTCTATCAAGCGTATGTTTGTTGTCATCTGAAGGAAACCTCAGGATGCGGCCGCTGCGTCTGAGGTTTTCGGTGAGGTCACCAGTTCACGGGTGAGTCCGCTAATCCCTCTGTCTGCCAGGTCAGGTGTTATCTGGTTGCAATGACATAAGCTGGTCCCAGCAGTGAGCGGGCTCATTGTTGTATACCCAGCTCAACCCCTTGAACTTGTCAACTCAAATCAGAATCACATTTTGGGACTTGAGCCAAGAGTTTGGAGAGGAATACAGAATGAATTCCCGTGAGATGCGCGGCAAGGTTGAGAAAAGAGCACCAGAGCCTGCAGCAGCAGCTGGCAGAAATGAGACAGATGGGTGACGCTCAGGAGAAGCGAGCAGAGCCAAGCTGGGCTGGCGACATGATGTTTGTAGCACCAGTGAAACCTGATGCAAGTGCATTTCACAAAACTTTTTGCTGGGCAGCCTTGAGCCTGATACCACCCTTGGACCTCAAGTACCAGGGTCTCGTGGACTGGACCGTCAGTGCAGGAGGGCACGTCAGTGCAGCGCTGTGTGCGCTGCAAAACGGCCGAGCAAGAACTGGAAATGCAACTAAAGCTGGAAGATTTGTTGGGCTGTGTTGGGGGTGAGGAACCGGGCCTCGATGAACTTGGAGTTTGGGAAGATTGGGCACTGCGGGGCATGAGATATGCTCACCCAAACTTTCAACCTGACCAATGAAGATACCAACGAATCAATGACGACACCCCATATGAGGGATGGTCAAAATTGATGTGGCTTAGCATCGAATGGGGTGGCACTGTTTGCACTACAGTTTTATACGAACAATCCAATGAATTTTTGCGGAACAGTTGACAAGGACAATCTCCCGTGGCGCATGGCCGTGGCGAGGATGGGGGTGACCACTATCCCCGCAGAATCAAGTGAGCTCGCTTCAGGGGAGAAGGAGGCACTTTCCCACCAAAGAACCATGGAAATGGAAAACAATGTTTATTTTTTTTCGCTCTTTTCAACACATGTAAAACATTTATTTGTTTTTTTCGAGGATACATTTTCTTGTTTTCTTGTGATGACAGTCCAGTGTCTCAGGTTGCGCCGGGAACAGCACAGCCTTGAGCAGCAGCTCTTGCTCTCCAAACAGCAGCTGCAGCATGCAGAGGCCATGCCCTGGCGAAGCAGTTCGTGTCAACATAGTTATATATTACAATACTTACCCAAGAGAGAATTCCCATCCAACGATGGTCTAGGGGTTTATGCCTTTTCCCCGGACACCACTGTCACTCAAGTCATCCCTTCGGTTCGACTTTCAATGCTCATAGAGGGAGCAGCATATTTTGGCAGTAGCTTATCACTTATCCACTGCACAGTAAGCATTTTTAGAGTCTAGAGGTTGAGGAATGACAGAGTGGGGAATTCTGGTAGATAGATTAGATAGGAGAAGAAATCTCCGTTCTATGCCATAGGTGGCTCTTTTGATGTGTTCGCAACAAACTTGCCACTTTAAGTAACCAGGTGACGAGTGAAAAGTCACATTGCATCACAATCGAAAAAGCTTTTCAAGCACGGTGTGTCTTCTCTTGCAGATTCGTTGAGGAAACTCGAAGCTAAGCTGCTGACGT